GAACTGGCTTGAACTCAGACCTCATGCTCTCACTGGCTTTTTTTTTTTTGTCGGTCATGGGACTTGAACTCTGGGCCTGGGAGCTTTCCCTGCGCTCTTAGCTCAAGGCCAGTGCTCTATGGCGTGAGCCACAGCGCCACTTCCAGTTTTCTAGTGGTTTATTGGAGATAAGATCTCACCATGATCCTCAGATCTCAGCCTCCTGAGTAGCTAGGATTACAGGCGTGAGCCACCAGCGCCAAGCTCTCACTTGGCTTTTTTACCCAAGGCACTTTTGAGCTTAGAGTGAACTTGGGACTGTGACCCTCACATTAGACTCGTGTAGCTCTATCAATTGAACCATAACTCCACTTGTGGCTTTAAAAAAATTTTTTTTTGATGGTTAATTGAAGACTCACAGACTTTCCTGCCTGGACTGACATTGAACTTCAATCCTCAAATCTCAGTTTCCTGAGTAACTAGGTCTACAGGAGAGCTACTAGTGCCTGACTCATTTCTTTTAATTGTATTTTGTTGCCTAAGAAGTAATCTCTGGCTGAGTGCCAGTGACTCACACCTGTAATCCTAGCTACTCAGGAGGCTGAGATCTGAAGATCATGGTTCAAAGTCAGCCCCAGCAGGAAAGTCCCTGAGACTTTTATCTATGATAAACCACCAGAAAACAGGAAGTGGTGCTGTGGCTCAAGTAGTATAGCACCAGCCTTGAGCTGAAGAGCTGAGGGACAGCCCTGAGGCCCAGAATTCAAACCCTACTACCAAAAATAAATAAATAATTAAATAAACAATCCCTGGGCATCAGTGGCTCACACCTGTAATCCTACCTACTCAGGAGGCTGAGATCTGAGAATCTCAGTTCAAAGCCAGCCCAGTCAATAAAATCCTTGCGAGATACTTACCTCCAGTTAACCACTCAAAAACTGAAAGTGGCTCTGTGGCTCAAAGTGGTAGAATGATAGCTTTGAGCAAGAGAGCTCAAGGACCTCGCCCAGGTCCTGAGTTCAAGCCCCATGATCAACTCCAAACAAGTAATCTTTACTAATTCTGTCCTTTGAAAACTCAAAGCCTTACATCACATATTTGAAACCCCATGGAAAAAATTTATGCTTTACCTTCACTACTCTCTTCCATTTAAAAAATTTTAACAAATATGATGATGATTGAGGAATTATTCCCTATTTCACATTCAGTTCTGAGCTAGAAAGTGCAGAGATGGGACCAGTTGTTCCTACATTTACTTTCTAACCACGTGGTACAACATATATCTGTCAGGGGCCATTACATCACTTTAACAAACAATGTGGGCTCTTTTTTTTTTCTTTTGGTGGTGTACAGGATTGAACCTGGGTCCTGGGGGAACCTATGGCCTGGAGCAGGTTATGTAAGCATTCCACCACTGACCTATACCCACAGCACTCAGCACAGACTTAAGACAGCTAGCATATACATAGATACATATATGTTACATAGATCAGCCCACGCTTTGACACTGAAAACTGAAAGATCTGTGTAACGTGGGTCTCTGCGATACAGCAGAGGGAGATGGTTGTGGAGGCAAATAATTATCACATGATGTAACAAGTATATATGAGGGGCTGGGAATGTGGCTTAGTGGTAGAGTGCTTGCCTAGCATGCAGGAAGCCCTGTGTTCAATTCCTCAGTACCACATAAACAGGAAGAACCAGAAGTGCTGTGTGCTGCAGCTCATGTGGTAGAGCACTAGCCTTGAGCAAAAGAAGCTCAGGGACAGTGCCCAGGTCCTGAGTTCAAGCCTCAGAAACTGGCAAAAAAAATAAAAATAAAAATTATAGAAAGTATATATGAGATGGCAAAGAAGTGCAGAAGAAGAAAATGTGCATAACTAATGGAATCCAGGGATTAGTCAGGAGACAGTCACTGAGAAGCTCTTCTTTGAGTTGATTATTGAGGTCATGGTATGAAATACATTGTGGTGGGTAAGAGAACAGATTGTGGCCAGGCTGAGTTTAAATCTCAGCTCTACTATTTACTTGCTGTGGAATCTTACACATGTTATTTAATCTCTCTGGGCTTCAGTTTGTCTCCTATGAAATAGGCATTACTGAGCATAACTCAGCCAGTTGAAGTGAGGTTGAAGAGAGTATCATGGGCTTAGAACAGTGCATAGAAAAGGGCTTAGAAAAGTCCATAGCCAAGTGCTGGCTAGTGTGCCAGCAGTAGCAGAATGAGAGAAACCAAAAAAACAAGAAGTATAGTAACTAAGCTTGCTAAAACAGAAAAATGAGTGATATTTGGGTGGAGAGTCATAATGAAGGGGCAAGGAAAATAGATGGATACAGGTAGAGGACCTCCTAGGTTACACCAGAGATGCTCATGATAAGTCAGTCCCTGGAAAGTTTTCAAGAAGAATTGCAGATTTGCATTACAGAAAGACAAGCTCTGGAACAGTATAGAGATCAGGCAATTAGTTAATTGGATTTGGTAGTGCACATCTGGATTCTGATGGTGCACACCAGCACTCTGGAGTCTGAGGAAGGGAGATTGGGATTTTGAGGCCAGCTTGGGCTACATAATGAGACACTGTCTATTAAAAAAAAAGGCAACTGACAAGGAGATGATAAGATCTTGGCTAAGACGGAAGGTAGAGGCACATTTCAAAGTGAGGAGAAAAAACTTGTGAGAAGTGACAACAGCTTAAAGATAAAGTAGAAAGTTATGGATGGCTTTAACTCCTACTTTGTATTATTTGATGAAAAAGGTTTGGGGACTTGGGGTTTGTTGAGTTTCTGTGGCCTGTAAAATGGCCAGAATTAGGTGTAGGCCTGCCCTCTGGAGCTAGAAGTTAAGATTTTGGAATGCTTGGGACATAGGCAGTTACCACTGTAGGAACATGAGGACATAACACAGGCAGGTTTCTGGAAAGCCCAACATTTAAGATCAAGAAAGTACAGCTAGCCAGGAAGTAGTGGTCACAGAGGAAGAAAACATAGAAGAAAATTGAGTCATAGAAAATGCTGGAACTTTGAGGAAGTGTTTTAGTGCAGGAAAGAGCTTAAGTAGAAGGAGAGCTATGAGCCACAGCACCACTTCTGGCTTTTTCTGCATATGTGGTCCTGAGGAATCGAACCCAGGGCCTCAAGCATGCAAAGCAAGCACTCTATCACTGAGCCACCTTCCCAGCCCTCTTGCCTTTTCTTGCAGACCTGTTTCCCTAGGATCTAGCAAGAGGTTTGTTATGTGAGTGTCCACACACTAAATGCTGGTGGAGAGAAAGAATTAATGCTCTGCCTTAGTAGAGATTGGAAGATCCCCAGTGCATGGCTGTTTCCATAAGAGTAGTTTTAAGAATATCTATGTTCTAGGACCGATCTGGTAGCTCCGCTTGTGTCATGTGGGAAGGAGAGGCTACTCAGGGTGATATTATTATGTAATGCATGTAAACTCTTGACTCGGCTCAGTTGTGATTTTCTAGGTGGGGATGTCCATTTCCTTCTTTCCGTCCTTTGTATGTGAAGGTGCTTTCTCTTTCTTAAGAGCAAGTCTTTTGTAGTCCTTGCAAGTACATATTTGTCCACGGGGTTCCCAGCTCAGAATTCTGTTAACTCCTCAGTTTAAGCAGACTTAGAACCCAGAGGTAGGTCAGATTCCTTTATCTCGGGTGAAGTTAATCCTGAGGGTAAAGATGCCCCCCCCCAAAAAAAAAAAACCTGTCCAGGGAAGGTTGAGCCCTGGGGCTTTGCAGAGCATGCAGCAGCAGCAGGCTAGGCCCCATCTTGCGTCCTGAACTTGGGCCGTGGCCTCCCCCAGGCCCCGGCCACACTCAAGGGCGGCTAGACCAAGGTCTCTCCTGGATCGTTCAGGTGGAGAAACTGATGCAGACCAGATCTCGGAGCCCGGCGTGTGCGGCACTAGCGGGGCCAGCACGGCCGTTCACGGCTTTGGGTACTGGCGAGGAGGGGTGGCGCGCGAGCCTCAGCCATCCCTCAGGCGCTCGCCGCCCGCTCCTCGCGGCCGCCGCAGGTCTCCCGGGC